TCCATGATTGTTTGAGGGAGATATTACATTTCCTTCTGAGCACGCCGGTGTCAGTGGGCAGGGAGGGAGTTGCAGGACAGATCAAGAGATGTCACTCCCTTGTTTCAAACTGAACACTGACTCTGAGTGTGCTCGAGGGCGGGAAGACCACATTGTCATCTCTCTATCAATTTGTCGAAGTCCGTTGAGAAACTGTTTTGATGTTCACTACAAGGGCCAGATGGTTGAACTGCAAAGCGTTTGACCTTCCATCTTTGCAGAAATCAACAGACACAAGGAGAGAAAATTGGCCTTCCTCATGGAAACCTTACTTCAGATGCAACTCAACATGCAAATCTAACTGATCCTTCCTGCCAACTCAAACCATCTTCCACATGCCGAAACCCTCCGAACCCGCCGACCTGGAACCCTCCCTCCCACCTCCTCGCGTGCTCCAGGAGCGTGCTCTTCAACGGGATGCGCGTCCGGGACCGAAGCTTCGAAAGGTCGGAGTCGGCGACCGGGGCGGGGCGGGTCCGGGGGGGAGCACGGGGCACGGAGGATGGGGGATGGGGGGGATGGGGGGCGTGCCATTTTGATATATTGTGGATATACACCGCCGGGAAAGAGGATGGCGCAATTTTTTCAATGACCAGTGGTTAACGGCCTAAAGGTAGATTGCGCCAGGTGTGCTCCACCTGAACGCCAAAATAACCTATTGATGGCGCAATTCAGCCTTTTCTGGCCGCAAATGTAGCGAGAGCGGCTTGCAAGAAACGCTGCCAAAAATGGGTTATAGAAGGCGCAATGCCATACATACATGTCAGAATTGGGCCAGGAATACAGTATCCTGAAAGTCAAGAATGGCAAAGAGCCTTTTCTTCTCAAGCCACGGGAAACAGTGAATGTATACAGTATATACATGGTGGGCATTGCTCTCACAAATGTACCATCCTGGCGGTGAGCACAGTCCAAATGCGCATCAACATTTCCGGCTACAATGAAATTTGACCTACAGTATGCGCGCCAAGCTAGCAAGAATCGTTTTCTCCCACTTTCCCATCCTTTGAAAAAATACATGCTGCCGTTTTGGCTGGGGTCCAAGGCCGCTTTGCTCTGTACAAAAGCCGCTGCATCCGACCAGACAACCAGAAACATACTTAAGCGTCTAGCCTTTTCCTAATAGGTTAGCCATACGAATAGCTAGCCTCAGGTAAGTCGTTCACAGTAGCTCTTTTCACAGGATATTACTACACATTTAATTCAATAATATTCAATATATATATATGTATATGTACAGCAGTATTAGAGGAGATGAAGACCTGGCTGCCTGGCGTAGTGCGCCTGCAAAAGCACGGCTGAAAACTCACTTGCAGGGACATGGATCGCTTCCAAAGTCCCAAATCATGGTTTGCTTGCCATTTCTTTACTGTACAGTATTGGGAGGGACCCACTCAAATGCAAAAGGGACAACCACCAAACAGCCACTGTAGATGGCGCAATTTAGCATTTGGCCTGTTCACCACTGGCTTTTGAACAATTGCGCCATCCTCCAACAACTCCTTCACATGACATGAGTCTCCGCCGGCTTGGCCTGAGTGAATTCATGAAGTGAGGCCTCAAAAGGTCCTTTTCCACTGTACATCATGATGGACCAGACAGCAAACAAATTGTACAAAAAGTCAGTGCAGTAGTACATTCCCCCCCCCCCAAAAGAAAAGGTTGCCTGGCCATCAGCCATGCAAAACACACGTTCCTGAATTCATGGAGGTTTCCGGCTTCCAGATCCCAATCCTAATGTTCCGAGTACGCTAAATTTGCCGCTCCGCTGCGCGTGAGAAAACCATCAAACACTTACAGTACTTTTCTTTAGATGGCGCAATTCAGTTGGGATCTGTGCTTGCACGGGGCATAACGTTCAACACTTGCAACCAACTTGGCAAACCATCAAGTTTCTGTGAATACAAGGTTTGTCAACCCTTCAGAAGTGCATCTTGTTCCCAGAGCCAGTTAATGGCTGCTTGAAGAGCTTGGTCCTGATCTGCATACAGCGCTGCAACTCCACCCCAAGAAAACCATCGTGAGGGTAGAGACAAGTCAATCCAAGCTTGCCAGCCGCCGCAGTCAACTGATTTCTTGTTGACCCTACGTTGGAGCTTCAGACCTGGTCTGGGAGGCAAGGAGGTCTGCACCTCAAGTGGTGTGGTGTTCAATCCCACGCTGCAGCCCTTGCTGTCTTTGGATGACCCTGAAGACGCGGACTTTGGGAATGCATCCTCAGGAGGAGATGGGTTCTTTGAGGGAGGTGTGTAGAAGAGTTCCTCAACCACTTCCAGGTCGGCCATTTCATCAGCCACTTGCTCATGGTAGCCATAAGGAATGTCCAGGTTTCCTGGGTCTGGTCCAATCTCTTCCTCCAACCCCTGCATCAACGTGGCGTCATCAGCCGCATCCCCCATAAGCCCCATGTCCATTTCTTGGGCTTGTGGCTGGAGGAGGTTCTCTGCCTCCATGTTTGCCGGGTTTTCAGGGTCCTCAAGGTGGTTCTCTTCCTCATCACTCTCAACGTGTCCTGCCTGGTCCTCAGCTTGCCCATCAGAAAAGAGATCTCGCACTTGTTCCGTCGTCAAAGTGGCTTGACTGCCCGTTTCCCCGGGCTCAAGCAATTGGCACGCCAATTGGCGGGGATGCTCTTCACACGGGAAGTGCAGTGTCAACAGCCGCTGATTGAAGTGAATCAAGCAAAGGTCCTGGCAGCAAGGACAATTGCGCCATCTTGAACACTTTGTACACCAAAAGATTGTGTTCTTAAAGGGGTGGACTTCTCAACCATAAAATGAACAATGAACCAGCAGCATTGCGCCATCTATCATGGAACCACAGTTTTGAGTGCCCAACCATAGTCCTTGGACGCCCGTTTTGAAGCATCCTTCTTGAGGTATCTCAGGTTGTCTGGCCCTAACTGTGTGTTCTTACGAAGTGAATCAAAACCTGCTTCCTTTCCTGTCCGGCGGTTCATCACCAAAGTGCTCATGTCTCTGGGTGGGGAATCAGGATGCTGCGTGAGGTTATACAAAAAGGTGCACAACCTCTTCTCCACAGGGAAAACCAACATGCCTGGCAATAGCGCTTGAACGTCTGAACCATGCTTGCCATCAAGAAGCCATTGGATTCTGCGCCGCTTCTTGGCACCACCTTCGATCAAATCCTGGAGGCTCGGTTCATCCTCATTGCCACGACCCAATATATCTGATAATTGGAGAGGATCTTTGAGAAGTTTCGCATGTTCAAGGTCTTCCTTCGTGATGCTTGAACAGCTGAGGAGGTCTGCCTCTGAGATGTGCCCCGTGATGATCCAAGCCCTGCCAAAGAGTGCGGGTGGAATTCTCTCCCAATTGGCAATGCAGTCTTCAATACCTCAACAGATACGCATCAGAACATGATGCAGCAGTATCACATTGAATATGCGTTACAGTAGATGTACTGTAATGAAAAACAAAGTTGAATTGCGCCTTCAAAACCAAGACACAGTCTTCCATGCGAACTTCTTTTCGCACTTGTCCTGATCCAGAGATCTCCATCCTCATAATGCATGACAGAAGCAAAAGAAAGCAGTCGCCATTGAAAAAACGGGTTTAATAAAGGTACAACAAGTCGAGGAGCTGATAAAAAGGACGCCGTTTGAACAGGTTCTTGCTGAAACCCACCCTCTCACGCGCAGTTTCATCATTGAGGAGCTTAAGGAAGGAATGCACTTGATCCTGCACACCCAGGTGGGCATTGCACAATCTATGTTCAGCAGGGTGTATGTGAAATAGACCTAAGCTATACTATACTAGTCTCACGTCGGAGTAGCCAAGAAAGGAAATGTGGGCCCTCCTGGGGCTGGCCCGCCGCGGACCATCCTCCAGGTTCCAAGGATGGCAACTTGACGTTGCATTCTTCGGCAAACTTGAAGCGGAGCAAAGCAAGTCCTGAACCAGGGCCTAAAAAAACCGTCACTCCATCAGCAATTGCGCCAAGTTGGTGCAACCAAAACTGACTAAATGCCTTTCAAAATCTGCCCCTCCTTCTTTGGCTGAGAAATTGCCGGTGAACGCGTCGGCGACGAGCATGCCCATTCTGCCATGAAGCTGGTACTTTTCGCGGCGCAGATCGAAGCAGTCTTTGAGGAGGTGATGAAACATAATCACTGTGCTTTCCGTGTGCATGAAGTGTCCTCCTTGCTCGTTGCGATGCAGGTAAAAGCGCCCTTTGCCTTTCCTGAACATGCAGCATTGTTTAGTTTTTTCTCAACAATGGATTTCTTTAGCTTAATAGACGCAGCAAAAGAAAGGAACTGAGAAAGGAAAAAGCTGAAAGGACACGAGAAGAAGAGGAAAATTCCTCTGACCCCTGTACCAGAAAGGCTCTGACTCTCAATTGTTTAATTCTTTAGTCTACAACCCTAATCACCCTTAAAAACACAATCCTTTCCCATCTTTTTCAACCTTCGCCCGTTGAATACTAATCCGACTATAAAACCAAAAGGATGATTTCTGTCTAGTAAACATCAATCGCTATAGATGGCGCAATCACATCAGGACTCAGTGGGTCCTGCAGACTTACAGTACTGTATTTGGCACAGGCTTACAGTAACTCCTGCCATAAAATGCAACTTGAATCACAACAGCTGAGAGTCTGGTTCATAGAGTCAATGTATTTCTGGGATAGGCCAGTCGCACCCACACTCACGAACAAGGGTCCCCGGTCCCCGTTCATCCAGCTGGAAGTGCAGAGACTGATTCCGCGACGGCCTCCCACAATATTTAGTATCCGCGTCAAGTTCTTGGATCGCTTCTCCCGCTTGGATCTCAGAGTGCTCTTTGGACATCTATAAGCATTGATCCAGGTCTGATCATAATTCAGTATCAGTGCTGGGGGTATAGCATTTTCCCGCACAATGCGGGAAAAACGCATGCGCGACCTTTGTCTCACGTGATGGACTGACCAACCACTCCTACCTCCGAATTCTGCTAATTCTGGAACCTGCCTGGTTTCACCTCCACTCTGCAACATTTCATGGTCTTACACCCAGGATGTGTATAGATGGCGCAATTTCCAAAAAGAAAATCAAAGGACCATGGAAAGGCTTACTCAACCACAACCAAGTTACTCTTCCATTTGTGGGTCGCTATATGGCAAAAAGTTGCCACAGCTGTTTGTCGCTTGCTTTGAATATCGAGTCTTGGCTGCAATCTTCTTGGCAAAACCCTTCCAATCCCTCGCCTTGATCCTCGCGGGCGCCTGCTCGAAGTTGTTGACCACATCATCAAAGCTAACTGAGCCGCGAGGTTCAGTAAACTTTCTCAATAACTCTTGATTTTTGCCGTCTGCAGCTATCTTTTCCTCATCAATGGCTGAATTAACTGCAGTGCAGACCCATTGAACTGTATGTGCCAGGTCGCGGTGAGTGATGTGCTCAGTCCTTTGCATGGTAGAGTTTTCACCTTTACTGAGCTTGTCCAACTGCTTTGTGACAACATCCTCCACCTCTGGTGGGAGCTGATAGTGCTTGGCATTGGGACCACGACTTCCATGACAACGGAATTTGTTTGGAACCTGGAGAGCACGGGCTGCTACAGCCTCAGGTAGGTCTTCCCAGCGCTCCTGATAATATTGGCGTCTCCAATGTGAAAACCTCCTGCTTTGGTACTCCGGAAACTGTTCCTGAATGGCCTTGTCCAGGCTCCCACTAATCAAGGATTGATTCTTCAATGCCCAGCGGACCTTAGGTAGCTGTGACTAGAATAGCAAAGGGAAAGCCGCAATTAGTCATTGGATTGAAAAACAAAGGTCTACTACTACCTGATGTTTTTTTACAGAAATAACAGATTATGAATGGGAATAACTGAATTGCGCCATCGTGGATCATGTACAGTAAACACATGGCAAATAGAAACATTGTCCTCTAATCAGGCTGAAAAGCAATTGCACGCTTCTTGATGAGCGTCAATCCGTCTCCAGTCTTCCTCTTGTATCTGGGCCGCGCAGCTAGTCTTCTCTTCTCTTTCGCACGGGCGTTGCTCTTGGTTTCTTTCCGGCCTCGAGCACTCATTGCTTCATCAGTGTTCAATTTCTCTAAAGCACGTTCAGCCGTTGAATCCCCCTGCGAGCTGAGCTCACTGATCTTGCGCTTGATCTGAACAGCTTGCTTCCCGAGTACGGATGATTCTTTCCGCCCAATTTGGACACATGATTTCATCTTTGATGCTTCAATCAGTGCCTGCTCCAAATCTTTCTTCATCTCTCCAAGTAGAGTCATAGCATCAAAGCACTCCTTGCTGTCCAGCAAATTTTGGTACAGTGGAAAATTCTCATACACACGCGCGTAGTCCTCCAAGGTCTCTTTCCACTGCGTGCTGTTTCCAGACTGGATGCACTTTGCCAAGCCCTGCCTCAAACCCTTGTCCATGTCGCTCAAAAAGGTACTGCAATGCAAAAGGATCAGCTGAGCTGCTTCAGTCACCCTGAACTTGGTAAACTTATGCAAAGCATTGAAGCCACAGCGGCGGATGAGTCCACAAATGGTGGTGTCCCGTTTGGCAGCTTGAAGCAAACTGTGGAAAAGCTTCTCTTGCAGGTTGTCCTCACCTGGCTTGGCCAAAACTGCGAGGCACTGCTCACACAACTCTGGCTTGCTAATGATGGGATGCTCCTCTACTCGCTGCTGAGCAATGATCGCCTTTCTTTTCACGGAACGTTTTATCTCTGCTTGTAGATGATCATCAGCTTGAAGCTCTGCATAGTGGCCCAGCTGACACCGGTTGAACTTCCCATTGCTGGCAAGCCACCTTTGCATGGACTTCAGAGAGGCAGCATTGAAAAATATATACAGTAGATGCAATATATACAGTATGCGTACTGTAACTTAAACAGGCCATTGCGCCATCTACAGTATGTTGTTTTTGAATCCACATCACCCGTGGGCCCCTCAATCCAAATCCTGGTCCACCAGAATCTACAGTAAGTACACTGTAGATTACAAGGCCGTGTTTACATACAATGTCATATGGAGTGGGAATGGGTGAGCAAAACTACGGTACACGATTGCGCCATCTGCAGTATATTCCAAAAATATCATACAAGTTGTTTATTCCTTTTCCCTTTTCCTTTTCTTTTCCCTTCTCCGATTCCTTTCTTTCTTCCTCTTCATTTGTTCCTTCTAATCCTGGTAAGCCTGCAAGCAAGCGACAGAGACTGAAGCATAAAATTGGAATCATCATTGCAATTCTTTTGGTAAACCAAGTTGGACTCTTCCAAATTCGTTCCAAACTGTAGCCACAACAGGAAACCATCAGCTGCTAAGGGTGAAAGGAAGCTAATCGCTCGGTGCGTGTTCTTCTCCACGGTGCTGCTACAAAATCCACCCAAATCAAGCGTTGTCTCAGACTTCAACTGGTTAACCAAAGAGGTGAGCTCGGACAGGTCCTCGACGATCTTCCATGGTGTCCAAAAAATCATCTTCAGAACTGTGATCCCCTTGACTCTGGAGAAGGTCACCTGACAGTAATGGTTTTCAGGTGTTTGGGATTTCAAGCCGGTACATTTTGCCCTGCATCAAAGCACAGAAGGCCATTTCAAGAATCGTGAAGAATCAGAAATTGACAATGGTTTGCAAACAACCGAGGAGCATTGCGTTTCACGAGCAAGATGGCGCAATTCTCGGATTCAGCAAGCTCTGGACTCTCGTGAGCTGCCAACCACTTGACATGAAGCTGCTTGCCCATGATGAATGACTGGCCAACAAATGCTTCTGTTGGTGAAGTTGCTTGCTTCAGCATGTGTTTGCACTGCTCCCTCACGAACGACTCTTCCTTGGAAATGGTAAAGGCTCATGGCAGTCATGGGCCATGAGATTGTCCATTCCATGATATTTCATGGTATTGAATGCTGAATGGTCTTGAATGGTAGGATTTGGTTGGAAATGGAAAGTTCTCTTCAGTTCTGCTCACAGTAGTTGGCACACCATCCACATACAGTAAAAAACACTAGTGAATTGTGCTTACTGATTGCGCCATGTTTAAAACAACTGAGCCAGGGTCAAAGAATTTGCAATGCATAGCAGGCATACCATTTTTGGAAACCGTCGGATTCTCCTTCTTTCCGCCTGATGGAGCTGCAGAGGCCCCACCTGTTTCTGGTTTTGCAGAAGCCTCAGGTGCTGGAGTTGAAGCCTCAGGTGCCTCAGATGGAATCTCCGCAGAGCTTGCTCCATTCTCCTTCAAAGCATCTGAAGCAGCATCAGGCTTGTCGTGAGCAGCACCTGCCAAGAGCTTTTTCATGCTGTGAGCCACCATTCGATCACGAAGTTCTTGTGCATTCCCTCGCATAGTGAGCGACTGCTCCTTCATGAAGGTCTTCAAATCACTCAACTGGGCGCACGTAGCTTCATCCACACATTTTGCCAAGAGTAGCCGCGTGTGAAATGCTCGCTTCAAAGCTTGCTCCATACCTTCCAAACTTCCCCTGCCAAAGTAGTATTTCTCCGACAAATCATGGGCCTTGCTGCTCACCCGGAAATAAGGAATTCTGGAGTTGGGGTAGAAATTGATAATTGCCCGGTCTGATAACTTCTGCACTGCTTCAATGTTCCTCAAATCAATATCAGTGATCTCCTTTTCAATCTCACGTATTTTGTTAGCTTCTCTGGGAAATTCCAAGTTCATCCAAATCCTGCAAGCCTGCTTTGGCATATGCGGCATGGGCGGCGTCAAAGAGATGGGGTTGGCGACAATCCACGCATGAGGGTTCTTGTACGGGATGATGCTCAGATCTGTAACGCAGTGCTTGTCTGTGTTGTCTTTCAATTCCTGTATAGTCACCTTTCGGCAGTCCACCAAAGTAACCATACCATGTACTTTTCCACGGGCCAAGAGTCCTTGTAGAATTGCGCCAGCTTGGGAAGGATAAACAACAAAACAAAGTGCACAATGTTCATCTTGGAACCACCATTGACACCTGAGACTATGAACCACCAAAGAAGAACAACAGGTACTGTAGACAGAATTAAGCTGAGTCTCCCAATGGGCCTCTGTGCTTGGTGGCTTCACCTCGTAACTCCCATGTTTTGCTCCCGGAAAGTATTTTATCAATCCACTCCAGATCCACCAGAAGACCTTTCTCTGGCAGCTCCTGACCCAGAACAGACAAAAGTACAATACATAACAATTTTCCAGCAGTTCCACGTTCAATATTCCATGTTGATTTGCTACTGTAACCCTTGTATCTTTTTTTCTTTTCACCTGCCTCCAAGCCTTCGCTGGTCATCCCAAAGACAGGTGTCATGGGTGATTTCTTTGCTTTGCCTTGAATCTTGCTATCAGAACTTGCAGCAATAGCAGGAACCTGGCCAGAAAGCACACATTGCGCCATCTTTGAACTTCCCCCCCCCCCAAGAAGAAAACTCCACAAAAGACTGTGATGATCGTGATGGGCAAATGCAGCAGTTCTGAAGCTGCAATCAACAGAACATACCGTACTTGATGGATTTGCCTTGCTTTGTTTGCTCTGAACAGCGCTCGAAGGAGTAGTCGTGGGAGCTTCCTGGCTGGATCCAATTGGGATCCGGAATGTCAGGCATGAATCACTCTGCGATTGCGCCATCTGTGAACTTCCCACTCGGTCATGAAACACGGATCTGCAGCCAAAAAGAACTTCTTAAACCTAGTCCTTGCCTCTGGTTGCTGAGGACCCATTCCGGCTGAAGGTTCAACAGGGAGGCCATCCTGCCC